TAGTTGCTAATTCTGCCCTATAGAAGGGGGTTCCCAATTCACTGTTCTTTATGTCCCTTGACTTGACCTTCTGGGAGAGAGTCCTTCCTTTATTATGTTTTCTAGTTATATCTGAAAAGGGTATTGGAGAATATGTACTCTTTGGAGGCTAATCAGTGTTCTTAGCTCATTTCCTGTGTATAGAGAGCTGTAGGCCAAAGAGACATGTTAAATTTTGTCCAGGTTCTTGGCTCCTTTGGCAATACAATTATCTTATAAACATTACTGGTTTCTTATCTCTTAGATTCCAGTCAGCCTCCTTTGCCAATAGCCGTACCGCTGTTCTTTCCTTGACATATCTCCATTTATCTATCTATTTAATTCCAGGTACCTTGAGCTTATCAAGCTTGGCGGGAGACCAACACCTTTATTCCCTGTTTTCTAAGCCATTTCATCCAATTGAAAGGACTTATTGGGTGATATCTCAATCTATTTAGAGATTTTAAAGATAGGTGTGACAGGGATAGGTTTGATTTGATTCTTGACTAAGGGCATAGTTTGAATAGCCTTTTAAAAACTATTATTGAAGGCTTCCATTAGAAAAGTATTTGTTATTGTCAACTCTGCCAGTTCCTGAATTTCTATGTTCTCTTTATTCCTTTCCACTCCTGCTTACAAAATAGTCAATTATTTTTTGGGTATTTCTCTTTCATGAAGTATCTTTCAAATACATTCAACATTAACCTACACATGCTATTAACATTTTGTTTTCTAGTATCTTCTGCTGGAGCTATAAACTTACTATGTTCATTATTTAACTTTTAAGTAATTGTAGGTCACAGTTTTATCAACTATTCCATAGCACACCATGGGTTATCATTCTTCCAGCTGCTAAAATCAGTTTGCTTGCCCCCATCACTGGACGCCCTAAGTCAAAGTCACAAAAGTCATGCTTTTGTTAAAATACACCCGTCTCTGGCCATCAGTTTTTGTGTTAATCAGTATATGCTAGGTTTTGTCAAAAACATTTTCTTTCAACTCCCAAGTGCTTGGAAATTGACAAAATCTTAGTGTGACCTCAAATGAAGAAGCTGAGGCAAAATTAATGTAAGTAGAGAGTTTATTTGGGCCAAGCTTGAGGACTGCAACTCAGGCAGATTCAAGTTGCCTTGAATATATAATCTGATTAGCAGAAGTTACAAATGGATTTTTAAAAGAAGAGTCAGTTCCTGACTTGTTTGCCAAGAATTTACATTAAAATAACACAAACTATTGATTGGCTATACATTGATGTTGTTGTTTTGTTGTTTTGCATTATAAATTCTAGGAACACAAAGATCATGGGTAAGGTAGCTAGTCAGGAACAAAATGACTTTGAACAATTGCCTCCAAGCATGGATGTAGAGTGGGAGTTGGGGGATAGAAGGCAAGAATGACCAAAGTCCTATGCTCTTGTCTCTTTGGGCCTGTATATCTCCCAAAGTTCAGACTGCCCTGAACTTTTTTTTTTCTTCTCTCATTTGTAATATAAAAAAATAAAAATGTATTTCTTGTTCATGCTGTATATCTACTGCAGGTTATACATCTCCTAATTCTAGGATACAGTCTAATCATGAAGCAGTCATGATGCTGCACACTGCCAGATTCAAATGCAGAGAGAAAGAGAATTCTAAACAGTCACAAATTGGCAATTCAATGCGCTGGCCCTGAGGGAATTGGCCAGAACTAGACATGTGGTCTCACTCAACCACAAGAGAGCCTGAGGGTGCAACCTACTTTAAAAAGTGCCCTGCAGGCTGAAAGTGGGAAATGGTGAACAGCACAATCCAATTGCATATGAACCTCACAATCAAATGTATACTAGGACTGGTAAATAGAGGCCCAACTTTACTAGAGTTGTAGCCCCCATTCCTAGATTTAAGAGGTCCCCTTAACATCACAAGTGCATACTATACATACTGTGCACCTTTCTTCTAGACTTCCACAAAGGAAGCTGTGGTGATTTTATCAGGTAGCTGTGCTAGATACAGGGGAATCCCCAAGGCTTTAACTCATATTTAACCCTGACTCTGAGATAAAAGCAATTATAGTGATAATTGAAGCTTTGATCAACAAGCCCCACAGGGCAGCAATCATGCAGGGTAGTTTCTCCAGTTTCTGAATGTACAGAGGGAGGAGAGGGCCTCACTTCCATGAAATCTCCTCCTGGGCCCCTGACTCAAAGAGTAAGTGTACTATAGGAAAAGCCAGCCAGAAGCCACTAAAATACCCCTCCTCAGAAATGAAAAGTAAGTTTCATTTCAAACCTATTAGATTCATGTTCTAGAGAATATTAAACTCTACAGATCCATCTCAAAACCAAAGGATCATATTCATATTGACAGTTGAGCTCTTCTAATGGAAGTAACCTCATTCAACTCTTCTTAGAAGTAAATGATGGACAAGTAGATAATCTTTGGCAATCCCTTCCAGTTTTGTTTATACATAGTGTTCCCCTGCCCCAACCCAAGAACTAACAAGAAAAATCCAGATTGAATTACTGTGATTTGGCAGCTTGAAACAACAAACTGGTTTTTCCTGCTCGTAAGCTGTAAATAGTTTTGAAAACTATGGTGGCATAGGAACAAAATATTTGGTAAGTGACACCTGGTAACCTGAGGTTTAATTATCTAAGCATTGAATTTTTTTTCAATATTTTAACCATTTTGAGCAGCAATTCTTTGAAAACGTGTATCACCGTAGTCCCTACCCTCTTTCTTTCTTGTTTGTTGTCTTTATTTTCTCCTGGGTTTTCTAACAACCTCTGACCTTTATCCATTAAAGTCTACCAGCTTGGCACTGTCTGAAGATATTGATCTAGAGAATGTCACTTTGTGTGCATAATGCTTGCAGTGTCAACTGCACCAAACATAATTTGATCTGGTCTTAATTTCTCTGGGACACCATAGGAAACCTGTTATTGTACAATATCATAATGCATTCATGCCTTCAATAGGGTTGCCACATTTGGCAAATAAAATTACAAGACATCCAGTTAAATTAGAATTTCTAATAATCAATGAATTTTTTAAAGTATATCCCAAATAGTCCATACTTCATTGTTTATTTGAAATTTTAAGTTAACAAGGCTTTGGTATTTTATCTGACAATTCTAATTAGGTACCACTGAGGTACATAGTCCTGTACCTGGCTAAAGGCCCTGGCTGCCTTTAGACTGATAATCTTGTTCTCATTTGTCTGTCTTCAGGGTGCCAAAATTTCACCTGTAAGATCTGCCATGATATAGAAGCCAAAGCTAGTCCTCTGGGCTAGTGCCCCAGATTGCTTTTAGTCTCTCTTTCTTCATGTTCATCTCTTTTCTTCACTAATACTTCTTATCTCTATTGCTGCTTTTACTGTCTGCCAACTTTCTCTTCTGTCTCATTTTTTCTTGGCAGTTAAGTGTAATGTTTTAAAATATGGACTTTAAAGGAAGACAAATAAGGATTAAAATCCCAGCTTATTTTTCAGTAGATGTGGGAACTTCAGCAAGTTATCTGCCTGTAAACCTCAGTTTCTCTTTCTGTAAAATACAGGTACTAATGCTTACTTTATAAGCCTGTTGTGAGAGTTAAATGAAAAAATATACGCAAACCAGTCAAGGGTAATAGGATTGTTCTCATCAAAAGAGCTGCAGACCTTGGGTACTGACTTGAATTGTTGGGTGTCCAGACTTGTAGTTCAGGCTCAGCTGACATTCTTGCCCTGGTGAGCTTTTGTAGCTTCCTCTTTGCCCTCTGAAGTTTGGCTGAATAATCAACTGACAAAAGTTAGATTCATAAGACAAGAGGCAGGCTGGGCACAGTGGCTCACAGCTGTAATCCCAATACTCTGGGAGGTTGAGGCAGGAAGATCACTGGAGCTCAGGAGTTTGAGACGAGCTTGCACAAAATAGTGGGAACCCATATCTACAAAAAAGTAAAAAAAATATTAGCAAGGTATGGTGGCATATGCCTATATTCCCAGCTACTCAGGAGGTTGAGGCTGGAGGATCACTTAAGCCTTGGAGGTCAAGGCTACGGTGAGCCATGAAAAGGATTGAATGCCACTGCATTCCTTCTTTGTTGACAGAATGAGACCCTATCTCAAAAAAGTAAAATAAAAAGAAAAAAGAGAAAAGGCATAGAAATTTATTAGTGTGCATGAGAAATCACAGAGTGATTTCCCTTAACCCCCATGTAGTGCAGAAGGGTATATACCATCTTTAGAAAGAATGAGAGCTCCAAGCATGGCCAAAAATAGATTATGGTGGTAAATGAGGTTATAGCGGCAAAACAAGTTACCCGAGGGAAAGAAGTGGAGGCCTGACTAGCAAAGGTGGGTAGCAGCCCTCAGAGCAAATAGATGGTACAAGTTTCTTTCACACCTTTAAAGGTGTCAGAATCTCAGTTAATCTTTGCTAGATCTGGACAAGGAAGGGCCTCAGAGAAAGCCTGGCTACATTAATGCAGATTCTCTGCAGATGCAAATATGCCCTGCAAGAGACAGTTTTGCAGGGCTACTGGGCTACATTTTTTTGTTTTGTTTTGTTTGAGACAGGGTCGTCTTGCTCTATCATCCAGGCTGGAGCATAGTAACACCATCATGGCTTAATGCACCTTGAACTTCTGGGATCAAGCAATCGTCCCACTTCAGCCTCCCTCCTGAGTAGCTAGAACTAAAGGCATGTGCCATCACGACTGGCACATGTTAAAATTTTTATTTTTGTAGTGATGGGGTCTCTCAATATGTTGCTCAGTCTGGTTGCAATCTCCTGGGCTCAAGCAATCTGTCAGCCTCAGTTTCCCACTCTAACACATTTATTTTTCTACCATCTCACTTTTTTTCTAAGCATGTCTCTCTTGGAAATAGTTTAATCCTTTGCAATATAAAGCAACATAGGCTTAATTTGTAGCAGCCCCAAGTTAACAAAAAAGAGATAATCCGGTTCTCGTATTTGATAATCCAGCCAAACCTGGAGTACTGCTTTCAGCCGCTTCACCACCTGAATGGGCTGCGGTGGTTAGAGGGTTTCCAACACAGCTATTGGAAGGCCTTTAAAGGTAATGCTGTGTGATACATGCAGCCAGGAAGGGGTTGGCCCCTCAAAACTCTGAAATCCTCTGGCCCAGCTTTCTTTTTCCTCTCCCTGTTGATGGCACTAGGCCCAGTGGTGGTACGGCTTTGGGTTTCTCTCGGTCTCAAGGTCTCAGTCAGGGTGGAAGAAGTGGAAAAAACAGGTCTTTTTCCAGACCACTTGTTGGTTGGCAGCCTTTGCCATAGCTAATCTGGTTTATTTTCAGGTCAGGGACAGTCGCTTTTAGGAGCAGATTCGTTGGCTTTCAAAATCCATCTCTTCGTTCCTCTCAGCGTTCTTTGTCCCAAAGGACTTTGCCCTTCCTTTCGCAGCGGAGACCTTGGCACCCTCTGCAAACAGACAGTCCCGCAGAGGCCCGTGACGAGTGTCGCTCCGTCTGTCTCGCGCCCTCAGGAGGGGTCTAGCAGAAAGCAGTGCCCCACGCGTTCATGCGAGGGTGAAGCAGGAACCAGGGGCCGACAGCTGAGCAGCCCAGGTGCGTCGCCTTAGGGACGGAGCTGGCAAGTGCCGTGCCGGGGCTGCCATAGCCGAGCCGGGAACGGTATTTGCCCGAGTCGAGGCGGAAGCCGGAGCATTTGGGGGACAGGACCGCGGGAACCCGGAAACGCCTGGGTTGCACAGAGCTGGCGGCTGCTACAGCTAAGCCAACGGGAGCCGGCGGCGCTGCAGGTCAGCGGTCGCGTTGGACCCAGCGGGCTCGGCAGTCTGGGGCCTCCGGCGGAGCTGAACCGCGGCTCCCGGTGGTGGGCTCAGCCGGCGGAGCTGCGCGGGAGGTGAGTTCTCAGCGCACCTGGGGAGGGGCGGGAGCCGGGAGGCCAGCTGCAGCGGGGCGGCTTGGGCTGCTCCCGGTGGTTGGAGGAAAAGGAGGAGGAGGCTTGCGAGGGGGCAGATATGAACTCTGTAGGGGTGAAGGGGACGGTGTCGAAGACCTGTAATACAGTGCTAGCTAAGTGGAGGTGGGAACAGATGAGGTGACACGTTGTAACTCCGAGGGATGACGTGCGGAATGTGCTGGGTGGAGGAGGAAAAAAGGCCTAAGGAGAGGGGTGTGTCAAACGAATGAAGACGGCAGTGTGTGCCTCAGCGCCTGGAGCGTGCGGAGCGAGTGACTTGTGGGCCGAGCTGGAGTCAGTCGGGGATGTTCTTCCAGTGAGCATCCCTTGAGCTCCCACTCGGTGTTGAGCCCTGTGGTAGGCACGGATCCACCCGACCAGCACCTGGAGCTCGAGAAGCCGCAGGAACTTAAAGAAATGGAAAGGCTGCCCTTGGTAAGGCTAGTAAGAACACAAGGACTGTTTGAGGTGGGGTGAGATTCTCATCAGAACAGACGTCTGGGTGTGTTGCTTTATAGAATAAGACTGGATCTTTTATTATGTTCTCTTAAATGCAGTATTTGAAAATTTAAGTCTTTTCGTTTTTGAAATCAACATTGGGCTTTGGTAGTTAAAGATGAAATTTGGTGCAGTTTCTTACTTGGTGTTCTTATTCACTTTGACTGGTAAACTCAGGCTGTTTCAAGGGAATGGTTTGTAAACTTCCATTTCTGATGCTAGCTTTCCTTCCAACTGTTGATTCTCTCTTCAGCATCTCAAATTTAGTTCTTCCCTTTTTCATTCTCCCTACCTCTCTGCTAAATATGCTCGTCTTTCCTCTTCTTACTTGCACTGTAGCAATAACTTCCAAACTGGACTTGTCCTCAGTTTTCCAAACTGGACTTGTCCTCACTTGCCTCCATATTACTTTTAAAGCCAAAGATCTTATGCCTTCTTTTTTTGGTTATTCTTTCCTCAGAAATACGCTGTGACTCTCGACTGGCTTCAGAATAAAAGTAAATTATTTAGGGAGGCATTTAATAAGTTTTATATTACTTAGGGAGGCTTCAAATTTTTCCTTCAAAATTTGAGTCTGTCCATGGCTCCAGTAAAATCGATATGATCCTTTAATTCTTTTTCTTTTTTTCTTTTTGCAGAAGCTTGAAACTGGATTCTTTTATTCTTTTAAACAAATATTACTTTATTCCACATATCCCATTTTTTAGCCAAACTGAAGTTGTTAATTAGACGTCCAATTTCTGAACATGCTATACACCTATCTGCCTTGGTCTTTGCTTTTATCCTTTCTTCCTCCAAAGAAGAAACAAAGAAGGCCTTCCTTGCTGTCTTTGTAGAAATTCTACTTGCTCTTAAATGCCACCTCTTACGCAGCTTTCTGAAATCTGCCATGAATCTAGTTCATTCTCTTTTCCTTTCCTTTTCCTTTTCTTTCTTTTTTTGAGACAGAGCTTTGCTCTTGTTGCCTAGGCTGGAGTGCAATGGCACAATGTCAGCTCACTGCAACATTCTCCCAGGTTCAAGGGATTCTCCTGCCTCAGCCTTCTGAAGTAGCGGGGATTACAGGTGCCCACCACCATGCCCAGCAAAATTTTTTGTATTTTTAGTTGAGAAGGGGTTTCACCATGTTGACCAGGCTGGTCTTGAACTCCTGATCTCAAGTGATCCATCTGCCTCTATGTCCCAAAATGCTGAAATTACAGGCATGGGCCACCATGCCCAGCCCATTCTTTCTTTCATGTGTGCTAGGCTTTATAACTCTTATAATACTTGTTAAATTTGCATTGTACTATGGTTATTTCAGAGTTTTATTATCCCTACCTAAGGAAAGCATTTGTATTTATTACTTTTTAAATTTCTTTTTGAGATGGAGTGTTGCTCTATCACTCAGGCCGGAGTGCAGTGGTGCAATCTCCGCTCACTGCAACCTCCACCTCCGGGGTTCAAGACATTCTCCTGCCTCAGCCTCCCCAGTAGCTGGGACTACAGGTACGCACCACCACACCAGGCTAATTTTGGTATTTTTAGTGGAGACGGGGTTTTGCTATGTGGACCAGCGTGCTTTCGAACTCCTGGCCTCAAGTGATCCACTGGCCTCGCCTCCTGAAGTACTGGGATTGCAGGCGTGAGCCACTGCTCCCAGCCTGTACTTACTACATTTTTAAAGCACTTTAGTACATGAACATATCATGATATATTAGACTCTTAAATATTTGTTACCTTAATCACGTAATGAAACAGTCTCTTATTGTGCTCCTGGAGACGAGATGAGCTCTTGAGTTGTTATAGAACCCTACTATAGATTTAGTATTTGAAAATACTTTTCTGTTCCATGTTGTAGTACTTCATTTGATCCTAGTAATAAATCATTGGGATAGGACAGTTATTATCACCGCAATTTTATAGATAATAATATTAAAGTTCAGACAGGCCAAATAATTTGCCCTGGGTCCTGTATATACTTCTTAGGCTGCCTCAATTATATTTGAAATTGATATAATTTGTGTCCGGAAACATGTGCCTTTTACTCAGTAGAAACTCAACATGTTGAACGAGGGATTGGATAAGTAATAGAGTCAATGGAAAGAATCTTATTTGAAAGCCTAAACTTGTTCAATAGCCATGAAGTATAACTTGGGAGCTTTTCCCTTCCTGAAAAGTATAGAGTGAAGTTTCTATTTGCTGTTAATCAACTATGGATGTGTGTGTAGGCATGTGTGTGTGTCAGCACCAGAAATTTAGAGTAAGTTATAGACCTCCCTGGGTAACTGAAATAGCTTGAACATCATCAGACTGACAGTTAATAATGCCATTCATGGGTATGACTTTATTATTAAATAAGGTTCAGGTGAATATGAATTGGCAGCTTAACATTAGATTTTAATCCTCACAAAAGCAATGTATTCTTAGGCACATTCAACTTAATTACCTCTATTAATGAAGGAGTATAACTGGTTATATATTTTTAATTATTTTTTCTTTAATGTATCTTGTTATATAAATTTGAGTGTTTTATATGTAAGTGTGAAAATGACTTTAGAAGCTAGAATGTTTCTTAGCTTCTCTATCCAGGTTGTCTGCCCAGAGCTCTTTCCAATATATCATCTGTATTGGAGATAGCATCTGAAATGAAACCAACGAGCCAGTTTAAGATATGTTGCTGGGCCGGGTGTGGTGGCTCATGTCTGTAGTCCCAGCCGCTTTGGGTGGCTGAGGCGAGTAGATCACGAGGCCAGGAGTTTGAGACCAGCCTGACCAACATGGTGAAACATTGTCTCTACTAAAAAAAACAAAAATTAGTTGGGTGTGGTGGCGCGTACCTGTAATCCCAGCTACTCAGGAGGCTGAGGCAGGAGAATCACTTGAACCTGGGAGGCGGAGGTTGCAGTGAGCTGAGATCATGCCATTGTACTCCAGCCTGGGCAACAGAGCAAGACTCTGTCTCAAAAAAAAAAAAAAGAAGGTAAGTTGCCGTACTTAGAGATAAGAAGTTTGATTGAAAAGGTGTGGTAGGTCAGGAAGAGTAGTAGAAATTAGAATTAAAATGAAGGTGAAACTTTGAGGTCATGTCAGATAAAATACTAAGAAACAAGCTCATTCTACAAAGTGTCCACATATGACTTTATATCTACTCAGAGCCTAGTTTTTTCTGTAAAAGTTATATAAAAAGTTTTTTTTCTAAATTCTCATGCACTATAAAACCAATTTCAAACAGCATTTCTAATAGTATTTTCTATCATGAGTAGGTTTCATAAAGGTATTCAATGAATAAGGCATTATTATACTACAATAAGGCATTGTAGTATCACTTTGACTTTTATTCCTTAATCATAACCACTCTATAAAATGCATACTGTTATTTATCACCATGTTATAGATAAGGGAAAGGAGGGACAGAGGGATTAAGTAATTTGCTGTACTTATTAAGTTGTAGAGACAGAATGTGAATTGTCTGAGACCAAAGGCATACTTTTACATACTATGTTGACTGACCCTCTAATACTTGGACATGCTTTTCTGTTTTTTAAATAATTTTCTGTAGAGACAAAGTCTTGTTATGTTGGCCTGGCTGGTCTTGAACTCCTGGTCTCAAGTGATCCTCCTGCCGTGGCCTCTGAAAGTGTTGAAATTGCAGGTGTCATCAGTCCTTAGCCTTGCTTAAACATAGGCTTTACTGCAAAGACTATGGGTTTTGACTGAGATAAATCTTGGTTCATGTCTGAACTCTGACATGTTATGCAAGACAAGCCATATACTTAATATCTCAGAACTTGTGTTTCTTAATCTGTAAAATGAATACCTCATTTTATAGATTAAATGAGATCTAAATGAGATAATACCTGAAAATCACCTAGCACAATGCCTGACATGCTGTAGGTATTCAAGATTCTTTTATTATTTTTACTTCTCTCATGAAGTCCAGTTGTTACAGTTATTAGAAAACATTTAATGTAAGCCATTTTTGACCTGCATTTATCTTTTTTTTTTTTTTTTTTTTTTTTTACATTGTAACAGGGTCTCACTCACTATGATCCCCACCTCCCTGGCTCAAGTGATCCTTCTACCTCCTACCTCCTGAGTAAGTGGGACTACAGGCATGCGCCACCACGCCTGAGTAATTTTTGTATGAGACAGCTTTCACCATGGTGCCCAGGCTGGTCTCAGATTTCTGGGCTCAAGTGATCCACCCACTTTTGCCTCCCAAAGTGCTAGGATTGCAGGCCTGAGCCACCAAGCCCAGCCCCTGCATTTGTCTTTTATGTTACTACACAGGGAGAGTTATGAAGAAATCACTCTCCCACAATAAATATTGTGGAGTTTATTATTTTATAAGTTTAACAGAGTAAATGCTTAGTATATGACAGATACTGGTATGAAGAAGCAGGAATTACAGTCAATAAAAGAAGGAAACATATATCATTTGTCAGCAAATTAGTCTGATA